TTAGAAAACACATTTATTATAATTATAGATAGGGCTACTTGTTAGCCCTTAACAGTAGTCATTAAGCCCTTTAGTCTTAGGTGTAAGCGAACCGAACGAACACAAACAAGACCTTGTTTATGTTCATTCGTTTAAGTTAGCTAAACAAGTGAACAAGCATGAACGGATAAACGAATGAGTTTTCTTGTTCATGTTCGTTCATTTAACAAATTACCTTGTTTATGTTCATGAACATGCTAAACGAACATAAACGAGCGAAGATAAACAAATGAAATTGAACATATATGAACCTAAATGAACATATAATATAGAGTAAATTACACGAATGGTTCCTATGCTTTAGGGTAATTTGCTTGTTTGGTCTCTAACTTATTTTTTAACTAGGAAGGTCCTTATTGTTTGTTTTTGTTACACATTTGGTCCATGTCTTACCTAAAAAAACAAGACTAAACTGCACAAATGGTCCTGGTGGTTTGCTCAAAATTGTCACTTTGGTCCAAAAAAGTTTGGACCAGCACCAGAGGTCCAAAGTTTTCATTTTGTTGCTTGTTTGGTCCAATCAATTCTCATTTTTTTTTCAAAATGACGGATATTCCCTTGTTAATATGATTTTCTCTTTTTTCTTAATTGTTTTTCTAATTTTCAGATTTAAAATAAATAAATAAAATAAAATCTCTCTCTCTCTCTCTCTCTCTCCATTACAAACCACCACCAGAAAAATGGGTTCATCTAAATCAAAGATACCCTCGCAAAAAATTAACCACCCATCTTCTACTACCTTTCATCTTCATCACCTTCATCGACATATTTATAAAATCCAAAATCAAACCTAATAAATCGAGTTTGAGCCCTCATACCTTCAACAAAGTGATTGAAGTATCACCGGTCCTCTATAGCTCTATCGAAGAACGATGCATAGATCCACCATTAGCCAAGGTCACCCCTGTATTCTCCCTTCTCCTTCACCTTCTACCTCCTCCTTTCAAATTTCATTTCTACATTCTCCCTCCTCTGTATTTTTATGTTAGGTTAAAACCCAAATCAGATACAACACAACCTAAAGTTATGAAGTCGAAATCGTTTCAAGCCCTAATTGGAGGAGAAAGTACCAGTGAGATTGTGCAACTGCTGCAAACATGGGGGTTTTCTTGAAAACGTCATGAATATAAAATTGGATCTTGAAAGGATGTACATGATGCATACGTTTAGGTTAGATTTTCTACATATTTCTTTCTCTTTGATTTTCTAAAAATTTATGGGTTTGTAAACTTATAACCAAATCTTCAATTGTATGGTATTTGTGTGTATGTATTTATCTTGACGTTATAGAAATCATCAGTCAGATTGATAGGTTTCATATGCAGTTACAGGTTCCCATTCTCGATGGATCAACGAGGGAATGGATGGAAGCTATCGAGCAAGTTGGGATTGCAGTTGCTATGGATTCCAATGGCAGAAATTGTGAGAAACTAGCACCATATCTTACTTAACTTGTTCATGTGTCAAAAGGAGATTTTGTAATATCAGTATTCCCTTCTAAGCAAATTAGTATCAGTTACAGAATCAATTTTCCATAGGTAAACCTAAATCCCTTGATTTCCCTTTCATAAATCAATGTCTCCAATGCCGCCTTCTGATGAACAGGTTCTGTGAGATATCTAGCTCAACCAGCTTCGACGGAGGTAAGGAAGATGAAGACGAATAATGAGAGGGAGATGTGGTGGCGATGACGATGCCAACTTTTCCGGTGGTGGTTTGTAATAGAGAGGGAGAGAGAGAGAGAGAGAGAAAGTGTGTGTGTGTGTATGTGAGAGAGAGAAATAAAGAGATAGATAGATAGATTGATTGATAGATAGAGGAGAGAGAGAGAGAGAGAGAGAGAGAGAGAGAGAGAGAGAGAGAGAGAGAGATAGAGAGAGAGAGTGAGGAGAGAGAGAGAGAGATTTTATTTTATTTTTTATTTTTTTTTATTTTTTTTAACAGGGGCAAATCAGTCATTTTGAAAAAAAATCAGAATTGATTGGACCAAACAAACAACAAAATGAAAACTTTGGACCTTTGGTGCTAGTCCAAACTTTTTTGGACTAAAATGGAAATTTTGAGCAAATCACAAGGACCATGTGTGCAGTTTAGTCAAAAAAATTATTTTGTCATTGATTTTTTAATTTATTTAAAACAAACACACCTTCATCCCCACCCCTCATCTTACCTTACCTACTCCCACCATTTTTTTGTATTTAAATAATAGTTTTTTTTTAGATAAGATAGTGACTAAACGCATAACAAAAACAAACAATATGGACTAAACGCGTAACAAAAACAAATAGTAAGGAATTTCTGTGTTAAAAAAGTAAGTTAGCTAGGGACCAAGTGCACAAATTACCCCAAACCATAGAGACAATTCGTGTAATTTACTCTATAATATATTAATGTAATAAAGAACAATTGAACATAAATAAACTAAAACGAACGAATGTAATCGAACGTAAGCGGACAACATAAATGAACATTCATGAACATACATGAACGAACGAGACTATTATTTATGTTAGTTTGTTTAACTAAACGAGAAGAATTTGTTGAATGTTTGGTTCTTCTAGCCTAGAGGTAACAATGCACCTAAGACTTTCAGTGCTTATCTATGTAGCCTTTTGGTCATCCTGACACATCCCTGAAGTATTTGGACAGTTTTCATAAACGTCTTTAATTCATATAAAAACTTGGGTCCTACATGTTTATTCATTTATTTAATTTAATTTATATTATTATTTAATGAATATATATTATTCATATTCAATCACAAAATAAAGTAAATTCTTTTGAATTTTTATAGACTGGTTTCGGAACTAGAATAAACAAAAGGTTACAATAATTCAAATTGCAATAATTAAACATTTGACTATAAAATAATAAAATAACATCAAATAAAAACATAAATAATTAAAAGTGACCTTCTAGATACCTTTTTTTTTAACCGGTAAAAATCAATTTTATTGAGTAATCAACCCTACCAGCAAGTAGCTAGTGAGGTGAAATTGTTACATTTAATCAGTTACAATTTAGTGGGTTATTAATCCACATACTCCATTCTAACATTGCCCTATCACCACGATATTTAACCCAATTAAAAGTTTGAGACTGTATAATAGAAACAATTTTCGCTGGTTGCCATTGAGCTTTGTTGAAAATTCTATCGTTCCTAGCCCCCCATATACACCATAGAGTGCCGAATAGTATCGTGATTAACGATTTCCTTTTTTTTGGGCAATTTCCCCATTTGGAAGCAAACTCAATCATGTTGTTTACCGACTGGAATTCTGTCGCCTGGATATTACACCACTTGTAGATCGACTGGTAAATAACCTTTACCAGAGGACATGCTACCAGGAGATGATCTCCTATCTCTTCAGCTTCGCGACATGCTTCACATAAGGACGATTCCAATAAAATGCCCATTTTTTGGAGGGCATTAGATGAGGCTATTTTGTTTTGTTTAGCACGCCAAACAAATCCAAGAACTTTCAGAGGAAGCATTTTCAGCCATGGGAAACTTCCGTCGCAAACAGGGAAATCTGCCCTTTCAATCCTGTCACGGAATAGAGCCACACAAAATTCTGCATTCACGACGAATGGAGAAATCCATCCCTGTCCTAGTATACCCGGTTTCATTACCTCATCAAATGGAATGTTTATTCTATCTAGGATAGCTCTCATTTCATCGAGAAACATTTTATGGTGGTGGTAATTATGAATTTTGAATTGTGGAGCGTGAGTTTGAAGTGGTCCATGCTTTTTTACATCGAGTGTACTACATAACTTTCATAAAATCCCCAATATGGATACTTTTCAACCATGATCATGCAATTATTTTTCATACCAACCCCACTATGCAGGTAAATTAATTTCCTTTAATTAGTGTGTTGGGACCTGTAATCTGTATACCATATTGGATGCTTTAAGAATTATTTTTTCCATGTCATGCTCAATTAACTATAGTATTTATAACGCATTAAATTTCATATAATTTAATGGGTTGATGTTTATATAATTTTTTTTCCTATAGTATTTTGAATTTTACAAAACTTTGATGAAAATTTTATTTTAAACTTTAAAAAATGCTCTATTAGAAAGTTTAATGGTTATAGAACTCTCTACATATTGAACATCTATTATGGTTTAATTTAATCCATTTACTTCACCTCATTCAACTATTCTATTATAATATGTAGAGTATTATGGATGTTCTTATTCTCATTATGGTGGTGAACACATATGAGCAACTGTGCCAGACCCATGAACGACCTGTGCATATATGTACGTACGGGATTCTCATAAGACTTTATAGAGAAGGTGGATTCTCTTAAGACTTTATAGAGAAGGTATAGTCATTCAAATTGCATATAAGTAAATCAAAAGGCAATAAAGTTTAATAAGAATGAAAGAAAATTGAAACTTAAGTGTTTGAACATTTTCAAAACAAAAAAAACAAAAAAAAAAGTTTAAGTAATTGAAAGGAACAAATCAAAACTTGTTTTGCTATTAAATGATATTGTACAATATAATTGGATCCAATGACATATCATAAATTTCGTCAACTATTACCAATTTACCAAGCTCTACTCCTCAAAAGAATATTCAACTTTCCCACAATCAAGAGAACAATACGAACAATGAGTGGCCCTGCAATAACTCCGGCTTATTACTTCAAGGGTCATATCCACATTAACTCCTTTATAGAAAAAAATGTAACACACGACTTTATTTTTTCTGAACGAACAATATCTTGGGACCTAAAGAAAATGTAGAGTGGGCATCTTGGAAATGACTAATGATGATGAACAAGACATGGTTTTTGGCATTTAGTGAGAGGAAATTAAACTTGGCCTGAAATGAGTCAACTATTGCGTGGACTATAATGTTTTTAAAACTCCTCATATTTTAGATTAGATGTTTAATTAAGACATGTTTCTTTTTTATAGGCAGTTGTGTGTTAATTAGTTATGATGGCGATATGGATCTCTAGTTTTTTGTTTGCATTCTTTCTCATCTTATCATCCATTGCTGCTCAACCTCATTACTTCCAGACTACAGCAAATCTTTCGACTACATGGACCAACCAAGAATCTTCTATCCGTTCCATCGATTTCACAGATGGCTCAAGGATCAGAGTCATCCTTGAAGAAGACAACTTTGCTTGTGGTTTCTTCTGCAATGGAACCTGCACTTCTTATCTCTTTGCCATTGTTATCAATTTATTCAACAGCCATAAAGACTTTCCGGATGTCATCTGGTCAGCCAACCGAGACTATCCTGTGAAGCTCGGTGCAATCCTGAATCTCACTGCATCTGGAGAATTGGTGTTACAGGAGGTCGATGGAAGCAGTGTTTGGACTACAAACACTGCAGGGAAATCTATTGCTGGCATAAACCTAACTGATGAAGGAAACCTGATGTTGTTCGATGTCCAGAATTTGACAGTTTGGCAATCTTTTGATCACCCAACAGACTGTTTGGTACCAGGGCAAAAACTACTTCAAGGACAGAAGCTCATACCTAGTGTTTCCTCAACCAATTGGACAGCTCAAAAAGACTTATACAGTTTTCAAGTCGAACAAAAAGGTTTGTTTGCGTATGTTGGATCAAACCCACCTCAAGCCTATTACAGTTACTTGGTACCCGAAAAAGATACAAATAACACAAGTTATCTTCAACTCTTTGATAGGAGTTTGTGTTTCTTCTTTTTCGCTACTGATCGGCCAGGTTATTGTGAAAGTGTGAATGACCTATCCCCAGAATACACACTTTGGTATGTAAAAATAACACCAGATGGGCATGTGAAAGCGTTTGGATGGCAATCAACTATAGAAGCGTGGAAGCTGGTGACCGATCTAACTGATGAACTCGGAAAATGCTCTTTTCCTTTGGTTTGTGGGAGTAATGCCATTTGCTCGGCTAACGAAACATGTAGTTGCCCCGAAAAAGACTCTTTTAGAACAGTGAATGGCATGGGTTGCTCTCATGTAACTCCTCTCACATGTAATGCCACCCAAGATCAATCTTTCATTGAACTCAAGAACGTCGATTACTTCACTTATACCACCGACATGGAGGATGTGGAAATGGAGACTTGTAAACAAGCGTGTTTGAACAAGTGTTCATGCAAAGCAGCTTTATTTAAGTATGATTCCAATTCTTCAAGTGGGGCTTGCTTTTTACCATCTCAGCTTTTTACAATGAAGAAAGTTGACGTACACCTCAATTCTTCGGCTTTTATAAAAATCCAGATCTCAAAGAGCAAAAGTAAACTTGCGACAATTCTAGGCTTCTCAATTGCAAGTTTTGTGATTCTTATCGTGGTAGTTGGTTTTACTATATTCATGGTCGTCAAAAGGAGAAAAATGAATAGTGAAATAGAAGAAGAGCATCTAGATCAAGTGCCAGGAATGCCCACTCGGTTTTCCTATGAAGAACTGAAAATAGCTACAGAGAATTTCAGTAAGAAGCTAGGCGAAGGAGGATTTGGATCAGTTTTCGAAGGGACTCTTGAAGATGGCTCGAGGATTGCAGTAAAATGTCTTCATGGTCTTTTGCAGGTTAAAAAATCATTCCTAGCTGAGGTTGAGTCTATTGGCAGCATTCACCATGTAAATCTTGTAAGACTTCGAGGATTTTGTGCATGGAAATCACAAAGACTTGTTGTGTATGAATTCATGAGCAACAGATCATTAGACCAGTGGATCTACCATGGAGACCGAAAGCATGTGCTCAAATGGGAATGTAGAAAGAAGATCATTCTTGACATTGCTAAAGGGCTAGCATATCTCCATGAAGAATGTAGGCAGAAAATCATCCATCTCGATATTAAACCTCAAAACATACTACTGGATGAAGATTTTAATGCTAAAGTATCTGATTTTGGGTTGTCAAAGCTCATCGATAGAAATCAAAGCCAAGTGATAACTACAATGAGAGGAACCCCCGGTTATATGGCTCCAGAATGGTTGAGCTCAATTATCACTGAAAAAGTGGATGTATACAGCTTTGGGATCGTTCTTTTGGAGATCTTATGTGGGAGGAAGAATTTCGATAAATCTCAGCCTGAAGAAAGTTGGCACTTATTGTGTGTCTTTCAGAGATGCTGGGAACAAGACACGTTGTTTGATATAGTTGACAGGTATAGTGAAGATATGCATGTACATGTTACGGAAGTCTTGGAGATGATGAAGGTGGCTTCATGGTGTCTACAAACTGATTTTACACAAAGGCCTTCAATGTCAACTGTGATTAACGTATTAGAGGGAGTACTAAGCGTTGAATCAAACTTGGATTACAACTTTTCGTATCCAAGACTACAGGAAGCAACAGTGGAACATGAGAAAAGCTCGAAACCTGTGTTACCTTCTGTTTTATCAGGGCCAAGGTGAGTTAGAATGAGGTTATTGTGGATCATTTCTATGGATCCTTCTATGCTTCTGTCTTTTCTTTCTTAAAGTTTTCTTTTGTCCTTCATTTTTTTTTTCTTGCCTATTTTAAATTTTCCAATAATTTATGAATAATTTCTCACTCTTAAACTCGTTTAGTCTGTTTTCGTTTGATAAGTTATCTTTTGTTGTTATACTTATCAATTATCAATCCCATATGAGTCAACTGATATTTATATAAAATAATTAATTATGTACTTTAAGTACTACGCTCACAAATCACAATCGATATTATGAAAAATAGTTTAACAATATTAGTTATGAGTTTGGGTCGCCAGTGAGGAACAAGATGGAAGGGGTTTGAGTGGTGTATGTTAGTGTATTATTATTAGTCTATGTATTTGTATTACTTTGTATAGTCCGACCCTTTTATTGTTTGGCCCTTTTTCTCATTTGTTACTTGTATATATTGTGGGTTATTCATGAAAGTGGTTCAAGGGGAAATTTATACGATATCGAGCGATTCCTATAATCTTGGATCATTCTCAATAACCTTGGCCGTTGTCCCCATCATTATGATCATCTTTCTTTCTAATATTTACTCTTTCTTCGAAGCCTATCTTCAATCTTCTTCTAATGATGTCTACCAACATATCAGACAAACCTTCTTCAATAATCAATATAAAACATGTTGTCCCTTTTGTCTTGGATTTGGATCAAATGAACTATGATATATATGGAGAGAGTTGTTTGAAATCTGTTGTATTGGATACAATGTTGATGATCATCTCAAGCCTCCTGCGGAGTCTTCTTCTCAAACTTCTTACAAAGACAAAGAAGCAGAATCAGCAGTTGTCAAGGATACATGGCTCTGTATGGACTCAATTGTTAAATCATGGTTGTATGACACTCTATCTGTTCCTCTTATCAACATGATTTTTAAAAGACATGCAACAACGTTTAAAGTGTGGGAAAGCCTTGCGGAAGTTTTTCGTGACAACAAAGCCTCCAAGGTCATCCAACTAGACAGAGAACTTCGAAATATTTCGATAGGTACCTCCTCTACCACTGATTACTACAATAAGATTAAGTCTCTAGCCAACCGCCTGGAACATATGGACGCCAAAGTCTCTGATACGAATCTTGTCGCATATATTATAAACAGGTTGTCACCTAAATATCGCCATATCGTGATGAACATCAGGCACCGTGACTCACCCCCATCGTGTTGGGATGCAAGATCTATATTGATATGTAAAGAACAACATATGCTCTTGGATGAACAAAGAGATGCGACTCTTACCCATCTCTACAATTCTTCTTCCCCAAATGCTCTCAAAGTTCAAACATCTCCTCAAAATAATCACAATAATGGTGGTAGAGGAGGCTATAACAAGGTTGGTCGTGGTGGTCGATATAACAGGGGCGGTAGAGGCAGAGGACAACATGGCGGTCGATTTCATAATGGTGGTGGAAACTATTCTTATGGCAACAGTCAAAAGCGAGGACCAAGGGGAGCGTAGGCGTATGGTTGGTTTCAAGTCCACCAACCCAATGATAGACCCAGTCAATAGGGTTTGTTACCAAGTCAATAGGGTTTGTTACCAAACCCAGGTGGGGTCTCAAATGAGTATAATTTGTTTGGTGTTGGACCTAGAAATCAACCAACCCAAAAATTTATGGCCCAACAACATCATCAGTTTTTTAATTCTCCTCAGCCTAACAACACTCAACAACAAGCTTTCTAGGTTCAACAGACTATTCTGAACCCCACGGCTCATCCATAAATGTTCAACGTGATGACTCTAAACGACCGGGTCAAGCCGATTGGTACATGGACACTGATGCCACATCCCATCTCCACTCAAATGCAGGGATACTCAAGTCTACTTCAGATAAGAATAGTAATTTTTCGTCATCTATGTTAGTTGGTGATGGATCTTTAATCCCTGTCACTAGAATGGGTCACACTACGTTTCCCCTTCGTAATTGTCACACCCCCAAACCGAGATGACGAAAATGTTCGGGGAGGATGACGTCATGTACAGTATCTTAGAAATTGTATAATAGTAATCAAAGCAACAATAACCATTGTATTGATAATATAGTGTTTACATTGTATTCGAATCATAGTTGATTGACTCCAAAAGTATATAGCAAAAACTAAGACTTGAAGATACTATGCTCCATCTTCTTGAAACCTGTGTGTCTACCTGTCTACTAGATTCCTGAGAATACAAGTGGTTTTGAAAGTTTATCAATATTTAAGTTGACGAGTTCATAAGCATTTTTGTATTTAGAATGTATGTTCGTTGTTTCTTGAAAACCTTAGTGTGTTCCTCCAGAAAATCCTATATTTTCTTAGTAAACGAATGATAACTTATGTGACCCATACCAGTTCCTTCTATAATCACTTAGTGTATACAAGTTATATATAATTCAGATTGAATGGACAGTTGAATGTGTGGTTCTGTCCTAAGCCCACAACCAAACAAAGAACAGGAAGTAAGCAGAAAATCACACATTCCACTGCCTATCGGATCTTCATTATATATAACCCGTGACTAATAACTATGTAATCACAGAGTTAACAATAATGGTTCTTTTTAGAAATAGTTAGTGTGTTCCTCAAGAAAATCCAATATTTTCTTAGTAAATGAGATGTAAGAAATGTGACGATACTAGTTCCTTCTACAATCACTTAGTGTATACAAGTTATATATAATTCAGATCGAACAGACAGTTGAATGTGTAAGTCTGCCCTAAGCCTACAACCAAACAAGGAATAGGAAGTAAGACGGAAATCACACATTCCACTACCTATCGGATCTTCATTGTATATAACCCTAACGCATGCACCAGGTAATCACAGTATTAACAATAATGGTCCTTTTATAAAGGTAAGTTACACCATACTAGAAAAGTAGTGTATTATAGTTGTATATGTATGCAACCCTTTTTGTAGGTATGTGCTTAGTTAAACGTTTCTCCAGAAATGTAAGTTATGTGTTAAATAGTATAATGTACTTGTATGAAATGGTATGACCCATATTTGTTCCTCCTATAATTACTTAGTCTATACAAGTTATATATAATCAAGATCGAACGGACTCTCGATTGTGTGATTCTTCCCTAAGCCCACAACCAAACAAGGAACAGAAAGTATAGCGGAAAACACACATCCCACTGCCTATCGGATATTATCTATATATAACCCTGATTTATAAACTAAGGAATCATAGAATTAGCAATAAGAATCTTTTATATCCTACTAATTTTAAAGCCCGATAGTATAGTTTTATTATTATATAAAACCATTTGAAGTTATGTTTGTATTCATACACTAATAGTATTGTTAATACCGAATTGTGAGTTATTATAATCATGCTAAAATGACGGATAGCCTGATACGACGTTATTCAAGCTTCGGAATCTTTTATGACATTTGTCACCCCAAAACCTCCATTCCAAATGTAGCTTCCAGTCAGGGCGCAGGATTGTCAATCCCGTATATATCTATACACAAACTCACGCTCTTCCTCCAGGAGACTCTGGTTATAAATTCAAGACTTTTGTTGGTACTTAGATAAGTACTTAAAGCGTGTCTCACAAAGCTATATTGATGGTTACGTGTAGAATAATAAAAGTCTTTTGATGATGATAAATAGTGTGTATTATCCTTTTCATAGTTAAAACCTTAGTATGTATCTTCCCCAAACTATACCTATTATAGTTTATATGTATGTAATGAAAATCTTAGTAATTTAACAGCTTGTATAACGGTAATAAAATATTTAAGAAAGATCTCTTTTTTCTCGACATGTTACAACTGGGTTAAAGCTTTACTTAAATAAGTTTTATACTCATATATATATATATATATATATATATATATATATATATATATATATATATATATATATATATATATATATATATATATAAGGCATTAATAATTTAGATTAAAAAGACAGTTGGACAAATGGTTCTCCCCCCCCCCCCCCCCCCCCAAAAAAAAAAAATGTGAAAAACAGTGACAACGTATGAGTATGAACTCACCTCAAGAGCAAGGACTCGATTGGATAGAGAAATGATAGCGATGATCATCGAGTTAGAATATGTGTGAATAGTCTTATCCTAATAATATTTATGCACGATATCGTATTTAAATTAGCATAATAATAATTTGAAGTGTTAGACAAAATTAAATTATGTAATAAATACTTACAATAATTTCTTAGAAATATTTGAAGGTGTTCTTGGGAAACTTACGAAGATTTGAAGAAAAACTGGGTAGAATCTTCTTGGTTTTTAGAGCAAAATTGGAAATATTTCGGTGTGAAAGGTGAGAAATGAGGATTGATTTTGGTTATATATATATATATATATATATATATATATATATATATATATATATATATATATATATATATATATATAGCAATGTGTCTTCGGCCATAATGGGCCTTAGCATTGTGATTTCGGTCTAAGCCCACCGAAAAGGGGTTTGTGGTGCACAAAGGCCCAATCGAGAAGAGTATTTGGTCATCAAAAAGGGATTTTGGTCCAGGCATTTTCGGTGCAAAGATGAGGTGATTTCAGTCTGAGGATGGGGCCCTATGCGAGGGTTCTCGGTTCCAACTTGTTTCACAAAGTAGTGTCTTCGGTCTAGCTAAAAGATTTGTTTCTAAAAACAAAAATATTGTTTATACTCTAATAAGTCATATTTATGTATTATAATTTAATAATTTGACTTTTGTTGACTTTTAATGACTCGAAATAACTGGTTGTTACATTATCCCCCCGTTAGAGGGAATTTCTTCTCGAAATTTCTTCTAAAGTGGTTACTCATGAACTAGAGAAAGGGGTGGGTACTTTTGTACCATTTGATTTTCTCGTTCCCAATTGAATTCAGATCCTCTCTTGGAATTCCAGCGGATCTTCACTATTGTGTCTGTTGTTTTGATCAGTAGAGAGTGTGTGGGTTTGGTTTACTAGTCTACACTCACCCGAATGGTAGCATGTCCACTCATAGTACTAGGAAGCTTTGTCCTGAAGTTCATGGTCGGACTCATACCTGGTTCATCTATCATCGCCTTGTGTACACAAGTCGTATATAATTAAGATTGATAAGATGGTCGGATAGGTGACTCTGCGTTAAGTCCAAAACCAAACAAGGAACAAGAGGTAAGGCAGAAACACACATCCTAAGTCCGTACAATCTTAATTGTATACCACCCTTGCATATACACCTAATAGTGATAGGTTAATCGCATGGGTCCTTAGTCTCTATTCTTGAACTTGACTTGTTGTGCAAGTGGTGTTCTTGGGAGGTCTGCTGGGAATACTTCGGGAAGGCTTTAGAAGGTATGGTACCCTTCGCATGGGTGCTTCTGGGTTTTGAAGCGAGAGACGATTCAGAAGTTTGTGTCGGGTTTGTCATTATATATTGAAAGATCTTCGTTAGTCGGTCGGTTAAGGCGAAGAGTCATTTCGTAGCACGTGAAATTGGTATGGTGAGGACCAATCCAATCCATGTCGAATGATAACGTCGAAACTTCTTATCATAACAGGTGTTAAGTTTATTTGGAAGAAGTGATTGTTAGAACGATAGTGCATTCTATGTGTACGTCTATAGTGCTTTCTATTTTATCCATGTTAATACTACTGCGAACATTTTGTACCTCATTAAGTGAGTACTAGCAGTAAGGTTGCTCTGATAAATAGTGATGAAATCTCGTATTATGATCCCTACCAGGTCCCTCTATAATCTCTTGGTGTATACAAGTCATGTATAATTAAGATTAAGAAGACAGTCGACTGAGTGACTCTACCCTAATTCCACAACCAGACAAGGAACATGAAATAAGGCAGAACCACGCACTCTAAGCCTGTTAAATCTTAATTATATATGACCCTAGCATTTACACTAAGCCATCATAGCTCACCTGCAAGGATCCTTATTTTTTATATGAGTGATGTGCTTTGTTCGGACGAGGGAGCAATTTGTGATTTTGTTTTAATTGGCACCAGTTTTCGTAAGAATTTTAACCCTTAAATGTTTTTATTTGGAAACGTACCGCTATTTACAGGTGGTTCTGGGAGAGTTTCTGTTGCGGTGATCATCATCACTCTTCCATCTCCGCCAAAATTCTGTGTTATTGGACAATCCCTCTTGAAGTGTCCAGTTTCACCACACCCGTAATAGGCCTGGCTTAATCCAATGTCGGGGACCTGGGAGATTGGTTGTGCCAATTCCCTACAGAACGGGCAACGTGCCCCTTCCTGTTGCAGTTCTTGCAATGCATCTCCAGGCAAGCTCCAGTGTGATGGAAGTTACACTTATTACACTTCGGGAGAGTTCCAGCATATCAACTTACGGGTGCTGGAGTGGTAGGTGTTGTGGCAGCATGGACCGCAACAATCTGTTGTCTCTTTGAGGGATCTTGTGTTGGTTTTCCCTTCTTCTTGCTCCAAGACTTTCGCTTATAGTCACCTCCTTTTTTTTGGCTCAGGAGTGGGG